CTTGAGAAGGACAGCATGAGTGCAACAGGGAGAGCTGTTGTTGATAGTCTGGAACAGACCCTTGCGCAGTGGGAGTCGTCGTCGAGGAGGGATTACTGATGGTTATTGTATTTTATTTATAGAGCATTATGTTGGACATTATGTTGTAAGATTGTAACATTTTAGATTGTTCTTTTAGCTTCCAACTTAAACATATTATCAGTGTTGTTTTTAAATTTTGATATAACCGTTCGTGGATCCGCGCAACTTACCCATGCAACATATAGAATGCAGTAAGCAATACAATATAAAATATTAATGTTCTCATTAAAAGAGCAACGTACAAATAAGATTACAAATAAAGAATGTAAACATGAAAAACTAAAATGCAGCTAGGGTGTTCCATTCGTGGATCCCCAAGCAGTAGTGCGACACACGACCATGGAGAATCTTAAATATAAAATGGCTATACATCGTACCATGTCGTTGTTTGGAGTCCTCTAGAGAGTTCCTGATGTCGTTCTTCTGAGTTTCAATTGACTTATTCAGTCTAGCGAACAGTGTATCCAAAGCAGCGGTCGATGAATCAATCCAGTCCTTGGTAGCTCTATGAGCGCTCTCAACTCTACATGTTGTAGTGTTCCCAAAATGAAGTACCTGGTTTGTCCAATATTTGACAAACGTTTCCCTGTGAGGGACCCATTGATGCATCACATAGTCCACCAGTGCCGAACACCACTGGTACGAATCCCTGAAGTTAGCCAATGCTCGCTCATACGCTTCCTCTGTGGTAGCCTGTAGGATCTTCTGCCACTTACCATTCACCAATCTCTCTGCCATTTCCAAATTCTTCTTGAAAAGGTTGTAGGCTTTCACTTTCACGCAGTTGTTGATGTGCCATGTGCACAATAAGTGGTTCGATTCGGGAAACAGCTCTGCTATGGGGGCAAAGAGACCTCCCTCACAGTCGCTGACGATGGCTGCTGGATGAACATTAGGCCCGATGTAGTTTCTCAGCTTCTCCAACACCCAATAATAACTTGGAGCCGTCTCATCCCTGATGATTGCATGACCAATCAGAAAGTTCTGGTTCGTTGGAGCCATCCCAACCATCTCAACCAGTGGGAACTTGTACTTGTTTGTCTTGTATGTTGAGTCGATCAAAATCACAAATGGCCAAGACTTGATCATATCAGCACAATCAGGATGCACAAGGAAATGATGAGTCACCTCCGCTGTATCTTCATCAGAATCACACCAGAACAGGTAACCACGTGATTGTGCCTGGTGTAGCAGCTGCTGTATAGGGTTCCTTCCCTCTGACCGTTCAAACCTGAGTTGCTGTCTGACGTTGTAGATGTGTCTTCGGTTTGGATGGTCTTCTGGAAATTTCTCTAACACAGATGCTAATATTTTAGCAGGCTTCACTTGAGCATCACTCATTTCTTTCACAACTAGTTTCGCAGCAGGACTTAAGCCGCTCAGTTGTCGATGACCCTCTTCATATACTATCATCTCATGGTTGTGATACCCCCATTTAGAGTAACCAATCACTTCCCAACCGTCACGACTCCGTAGTTGTCGAACCTTTACTCTGAACTCACACCCACAACCTTTCCGCTTTGTATCAAACCGAGTGGCTGTACGAAAATCTCTTTCTTCTCTTTTGCGATAACGGTCACATCTCAAAATGCGATCCATTCTACCATCCCGTTGAGATTTATGAGTTACTACTACCAAGCAAAATCCAGCTGCAATTGCAACCTGTTTTGCCCAATCAATCGCCTGTTGAGCTTTTTCGAATGGACCATCATGTCCAAATATCCCACTGTAATCATTTCCGTCTCCACCATAATCCTGCATTAATTATATATTACAATAAATACATTTAACGGATAATACATTTAATTTCTATATTTACACAGAATTAACACAAAAAAAGCATAATTATGTATAATCAAACTTAATTTTTATAAAAACCCAATTCGAATTTTCAAACTAAATTTAAAAATATACCATTTCGAATTTTCAAATTTAATTTTAAAAAAACCTATTTCGAATTTTCAAATTTAATTTAAAAAAAAACCCATTTCGAATTTTTTTTAAAAATCATTTTCGATTTTTTTTTTTAAAAAATTAAATAAAAAACAACAACAAAATCAAAAAAGAAAAAAAAAATTAATTTATAAGGGTGGCGTCTGCCAGGGCTGCCACAGCCACTGGACTGGCGCCTGGCAGGGCCGCCTCACCCAGTGGAGTGGCGCCTGGCCAGGACGCCAGTCTGGTGGTCTGGGCGTCTGGGCTGGACGCCACTCTGGTGGTTCTGGCGTCTGGCTTGGACGTCCAGGCTACGGTTTGGGCGTCCACCCTAGGCGCCGGAGCCACTCCGACGGTAAACCGTGAATTTTAACGGTGACTTACCTCGTTTTCCGTCGACGACGACGTACCTCCGGCGTCCCCCGCATCTCCGGCCTGCCCTCCGGTCTCCCCCGGCGAGCCAGTACGGCTCCACATTTTTTACACCGAGATTATTTCAATTTTAGAAAAAGGGCATAATGGTCAAACCATATCATATTTGTGGGCTTTATATGGTAAATTGCGGGCGATGTTTAGCGTTTCACAATTTTTAATGTGAATAGTTGTGTTATTTCATTAACTATTCATTAGTTATAATGGATAGTTTTGTCGTTTCATTACTTGCACCTTTTCATCCATGTTTCTTTTTCTATAAATAATTGTTGGTTGTTTTGATTTATGGGGACTGCATATTAGTTTAAATTACTCTCTCTAAATTTACATGTATACAGTTGTGGTTACTCTAATCTAGTTTGTTCGTTGGTTTCTTATAATTAAAATACCATTTTATAAGAAACGAAACCCGTTCTATCTTGGGAGACAATTGCTCAATAACCTTGGGTATCATAGATTGAGCAAAATTGTCTTAACGACACAACGTGATTTGTTGGGCTCGGGTCATAATACTCTATATTTTGAATCAATTATAAAGGTTTTTTTTTTTTTTTTTTTTTTTTTTTTTTTTTTTTTGTATTATATAATAGATATATAATTATTTGATTTTTTAATACAAGTTTCGTATAGTATCAATAACAGGTATATCAGACACACTCACTCTACATCATTGACAAGGCAATTAACGCACTCACTCCAACATTATGAAATTAATGGTGATTACATCAAAACAATGTGACATGCAACTAACTACTACTGTAACAGTACTAACTACTGAGGATATACTGCATAGAATTTTATAGAAAGTAATGACCAAGTTCAAAGGAGAAAAACAATTATTCATCACATATTAAAGCAAATTTTGAATCATCTAAAACTAAATTAGTTAACATTGAGCGATTCTCAAGTGACATTGTTGACACCGATTATTTGGGAACACCAATATTATCCTTTTTTAAATAAATAAAAATAAAAATAAGGTTTGTTGCATAAATAAAAATAACATATTCAATCGTAGCTTAAAAAAGAAAATGATGGAATATATCGGCATTATAACGCACACACTATTTCTAATAATCATGTTTAAAAAATGATTAAAAGTTATGATTAGCCGTCTAATTGAAGCCTTAAGAAGTACTCTACTCTTGAACCCTGTTTTAAGTCTCAGCTGTCAACGCTTTACCCAATACAGTTGTTGTTATTAAGTCTTGACTACACTATAATTTGGTCAATTTTAGCATCCATTCCAAGCATACAACACACACCCACATATATACCAGACAAATTAGAATGGACCTATTATTAATTTATTGCCACTAAAGTGATAAACATAAACATCACCCAAAGTACGAGGCCATGTTTCTCATCAACCATCTCTTATTTTTAATTCTACAATATTGCTAACGAGCGCTCCGAGACGCTAGATAAGAGGCTAGAATATTAAAATCTAATAATTGATTTGGTTATAATTACATTTGCATTAATTTGACAAATTTAATATTTTACCTTTTTTCATTTATCACAAATTTACTTTTTCAAAATTAAAATAATAATTAAAAAAATCTGTCAAAATTCTAATTAGAAAAGTTTTTATTTTTTTTATTTTTTTTATTTTTTAAGGGATAATGAGAAAAGTTTAGATATTCTACAATATTTTTTTTTTGAAGACATAATGGATTACGGACTTACGGAATAATTACCCACAAGTTTTACAATTTCATCTTTGAATCCCTTCATTAATCATTCCTGCTGATTGTTTAAAAAATATAGCCATTTGAAATTAAGCAAGTGCAACAGCAATACAAAAGCTTTGTTCTTGAAATTTTTTTAATGTTTGTTATCCAAAAAAAAAAAATTCTTTCAATAACAATAATAATAATCATAATAAGCCAAAGCATGTTCTTCATCTCTCTAGTTTGTAGCTTATTTGTCTTGCATATGTAGTAGAAACACACATCGCAATTTTAGTAAAGGCTTGTAGAGCCCTAAAATTAAATTAAAAAATAAATAAATTGATTATCGATATGTCCTGTGCATATTGCAACAGAAGGTCATTAAGGAGAGTTTCGTGTGAGTATATTAGGTGATAGGTGGGTTGACAATCTACCTGAGTCAGAGTTAGCTTATGAGATAGTCATGATTTTAAAGAGAAATATTTAGTTGGAAGGTCGAGGATGTAATGAAGATGATGAAGAAAATAAACATTCAAATTGTAATTCTATGGCATGCCTTATTTTTGTTCCAAAAAGAGGAAGGAACTCTAAAAAAGAAAAAAGAATGAACAAAAGGAATCAATTGTTTAACTAAGGGGACTCAATTGTTTAACCAAGGGGACTCTATTCTTTCCCTTATTTAATTAAAACCCACTGAAAACCCAAACCTATTCTAGTCCAGTCCCCTTTCCCTCTGTAAAATAAATAGAGTCCTCTTTGTCCACATTTTGCAAGAATTGAGTCCCTTATTTGATACTGAACTCAAACTTTTTCTTATACACGACCATTAATTCCAAACACGAAATAAAGTCATTATCATCGATTACTTTTCCTCCTATATTAAATTTTTTTTTTTTTTTTAAAAAAAAAACAGTAGTTGGTTCCCAGTTCCCACACTTCTCTTGTCTCACTCTCACCTCAAAACCTCATCATCATCATTCATTCATCACTCTCCTTTGAGTCATCTCGACTGAATACTAAACTACATCTCCTCTTCCTACGACTCAGTCTCTTCTTCAACCTCCTCGATATCCTCCTCGCTTTCTCTCTCCTCCTTCTTCACTCTATCTCTCTCATCCCAAATGAAAATCATAAATTAAAACCAATCAAATCAAATCAAAATTAATTATAAAAATGGGGGGAAAGGGAAAGGGCAAATTCCTCAAATTGAATTTCTCATTTTACAGGAACTCACCTTCACGTTCTTCCAAATCTTCACCACCACCACCAGAGTATATTTGCCCCGTTTGTAATTCCCTCTTCTCCGACCCGGTTGTTGTCGGGTCGGGTCACACCGTCGACCGTCTTTGTGCCGAGGTTTGCGAAACCCATAACTACAAGCCCGAATTCCCAGATAAAACCCGACCCGATTTCTCCACCAAAATCCCCAATTTAGCCCTGCGCTCTGCTATCCCTGCCTGGTGCTCCAAAAACGGCGTCGCTTTGCCGCAGGGGAATGATAAGGTTGCAATCGAGAAGATTGTGAAGGAGATGATTGAGAAGGAGGAGAGAGGCAACGATTTGATTCGGCCGTCGGAAAGGTTTCTCATTGAGTCGGTAAAGGATAAGGCTGACCCCGACGCTTCCCACGCTGTTACCGAGTTGACTCACCGGGTTAACCGGTTTGACACGTCGACGAGTTCGGAGGAGTCGGTGATTGCGGCGGCGAGTCCGCTTACGCCGTTACCGTTCACCACTCGACCTGCTTCGTGTTGGTCGCCGTTTCATACTTCGTCATCGGAAACCCTAGTTTCCGACGATGCGATGAACCCTAACCCTAGCTTTGATATTTCCGATGACGAGGAATTTATCGCGAAATTCAAGAGTTGTGATCCGTATGAACAGGAACAAGGTGCGATTTCGCTGAGAAACGCGACGAGAAATGATGAAGAAGCGCGGAAATCAGCGTGTACGCCACGTTTGTTGCTTGCGCTTGGATCGTTGCTTTTCTCGAGCTACGAGAAAGTTCAGATAAACGCAATTGCTGCGCTGGTGAACCTCTCGCTTGAGAAGACGAACAAGGTGAAGATCGTACGGTCAGGAATAGTTCCGACGGTGATTCAGTTGTTGCGAGGGAGATTATCCGAGGCGCAGGAACACGCGGCAGGGTTGATATTTTCTCTCTCATTAGAAGAGAAGAATCGTACAGCAATCGGAGTTCTCGGTGCTTTGCCGCCATTGTTGAACTGCTTGTTAAGGTCGGAATCGGAGCGAACTCGGAGTGACGCAGCTTTAGCGCTGTATAACCTCTCGCTCGATCATAGCAACAGAGTCAAACTCGTTAAGCAATTCAACGCGGTGCCGCCGTTGCTGGCGGTGCTCCGGCAGGAAAAGGAGTCGATCGCCGGGAGAGTGCTGCTGGTGCTGTATCAATTAGCGGCGAGTGCGGAGGGAAAGGCGGCGATGTTGGACGGAAATGCGGTGGCGCATTTGGTGTGGATGTTGAGAAAGGGGAAGGGCGAGTTCGAGTCCGAGTCGACTCGGGAGAACTGTGTTGCCGCGCTGTACGCGCTGAGTCACGGGAGCATGAGGTTCAAGGCGCTTGCGAAGGAGGCGAGGGTGATGGAGGTGTTGAAGGAGGTAGAGGAGAACGGGAGCGAGCGAGCGAAGGAGAAAGCGAGGCGGATAATGGTGGTGTTGAAGGGGAGGAGGGAGAGTGAGGATGGACTTGGGGAGAGTATTGATTGGGAGGCGATTCTTGAATCGGATGGTGGTGGTGGTGGACTCAGTCGGACTCGGAACCGACTTGGTGATGGTCCTGCTTTTGGTAAAACGGCTGAGTTTTGACTCTTTGACTTTTTTATTTGGTGTTTGATGATTTTCATTAATTATCTTTTTGGGTATTAAATTTAGGTACAGGATGTAATTATTATTGCTGGATTTTGTGATTTTGGGGTATTTAATTTACATTTAATTGTGGATTCTCTCTATAAATACTTGTGGATTATGTAAATAATTAGTGTTACATTTTGGAAATATTGATGGTTTTGGAAAGTCTCTTTGAACACGTTTTATTCTTCTCATTATTCTCATGCAACATTTGTGTCTCTGTTAGTACTTAGTAGAATGTTTTTGTTTTTTTTATTGTATATTTGTATACATCTAATTTTTTTGGCTCTTTGAGGTAAAATGACATCAAGCGATTTGCTAAAACGGTACCGTGAAATAGATTTATATGAGCTTTACTCAAGGTTTTATGACCAAATTAACGAAATTATACTTTAGTTTTCCTTAAATTAGGATGTAGCATATGACCTGACTCGAATCTAAAATACGCTATACTCTCATATGACTTGACTCGAATTATAATTACGTTATACTCATTACTAGTGAAGGTAGCGTAACAAAATGTACGTGTAACTAAAGTTGTTGAATAAAATAACTTTTAAATATCTCTTTTGGCAGCTATAAAATAAATATGGACTACTACAAACTAGATAGAAGTAGCAAGGAAATGAGATGATGACCACAAACAAAGAAGACATTCAAAAGAAGAAATCTGATTTCTTCAATGTTAAGGTTCCTCGTTCTCATTGGTTTGACTAGAGATCTTTTATGTCACTGCCAATTTTTTTTTTAACCCTTTCAGTATAATTTGTGATGCATTATTAATTGTTTCCATTAAAATTAACTTATAAGCTGTTGTTACATCCTGAAAGTGGACTACAGGACTATAATACTTTATTACTCGCAGTATTGAATTTATTTGATATTGACTGTATTATTTTTTAATTGGGAAGTCCTAATGAATATATTTCAAGACAGTGATATGTAATTTATAATAACTTTTAATTTGATATTTTATTGAAGTAGAATGCTGAATGATTTTTAATAATAGCAGATGTTATCTTCATTGAAGATTTCGTTCCATCCTTTATGGGATAATTCCAAATTGTTCTCTATGTATGTAGTACTGTATATGACTATATGTGAGTGATAATAAATACGAAGTATAAATTTAGATGTGATAGGCTTAGGAATGTCATTGCTAAGAATACGTACTTTCTATAACTTCATTTTGATAAATACTATAGTCATCTTATTACAACAATGTTTAAATAATAAGCAAAACGAATTTTATGATTTTAATTTAATATAATTAATAAAAAATAAATAATATTTAATGTAAATACATTGGATTCGTTGAAATTTCTTTTAGAACAATTTATAATCGCATAACAAGAACTCTATGTCACATTGCTATTACAGACTTTATAGTATTACAACCTCACCTAAGTAGTGGCGTATCCAGGATATACATATAGAATATGCACAAAATTAAATAACCAAACCCATTTTCCATTAGGCTAATTAAGCTATGTCTTTTAGTCATTGACCACTAAATATTAATTAATTTAAAGATGGGAAAAAATAAAGGAAATAACATCAATTATAAAATATGACTCATAAAGGTGAAAAATATCAAGAAGAAAAAAAATATTGAAGAAAGGTTAAATAGTGGGTATATCAAGATTCAAACGATACACTAATTAACTAGCTATAACTCCGAAGAAGTATCAAATAACAAGCTGAACTACTCTCATTTCGTGAGTAAATTTTGCTTCATAAAACATTAAATAAATACCTAGGGCTATGCACTTGCATATCCATTGTGTGAGCTGTATCCGCCCCTACACCTAAGTACTCGTTACACTTCTGCATAACTCATCAGTACTTGTTACGGGTTGGTTATGTGAGTTGCATATACTTGTACAAAGCCAGTTTCATGTGCTCCTCTCTGTATGAATTGAACATTTGAACCACAAGGTAAAACTGCATGAGATCAACTATAAATAGGAATAAAGATACGCCACTTTCCTTAATTCCATCTTAAACCATGTAATTAATGTGCATCAATAATGATAGCTACCTTTTAAGCATGAAACTATAATGTAGTTTTTGACCCCAACGTACAGTTTGGGGTTGGTTTAGGAAATGTTATATTTTGTCAATTATTAATCACTATATTAACAACTACTCTACCAACAACCACCACTTTTTGACAATGTAGATCGTCATTTTCACTTGTTAAGTTTTTGTTTGTTATTTTTGGAGGGAAGTGTTTTGTTGGAATAAAAAGCTTTAGAAAATATAAAGGAAACTTCTTCCCTTTTCATTAGAAGCATACTCCGGTACAATATTGCTCAAGTGGTGGCTCAAGAGGATCTAAAAAAGGGGACTCGGGAAACCAATGTTAATGCATAGTATAATCAATGTTTATTCTACAATAATATTGCTCAAGAGGGTCTAAAAAGGAAACTTAGCTTCTTCCCTTACTGCATGGTATAATACTATAAGGTCTATAACCAATGTCAATTCTTTCCTACAACTCTTTTGAGTTGATGTACTTGCGTTGCACAATGAAAATCCTTAATAGTTAATTAATTCTTTCCATGTGCGCGTGTATCTTTTAAACTCATGAGCTTAAAATATATAGTTTTGCGTTGCACAATGATAATCCTTAATTAGTTCACTCTAAGCCATTGGTTGTTTTTTTTTTCTCAAAAAAAATCCCATTAGTTTTTTTTTTAAAAATATTTTCAGTTTAGCAATAATAAGTTCGGTCCAACAAAAATAATCTCAGTTAAATAAAAATAATTTTTTATCAATAACTTTGAAGAACAAATAAATTAGAAAATCATTAAAAATAGGTTTTAATTAGTAAAAACTAATTCTAGTTCAGCAAAATTAATATAAGCTCAACAATAATAAGGTGAGAGAACAGGGCTATATTCTAGCTTGTCCGGTGTGTTTTTGTTGTGGATGAGCCGCAAAGGCAATAGATATGAGTATATGACAAATGGGGATTGAGGGAATTGAGCTTGCGACATATCGTACACAAATTCTCAATTTTAACCACTAAGCCAAGAGCTCATTGATAGCTTGTGTGTGTTTGGAGAAAATACAAGCTTATCATCTGACAAACAATGTAAATAATTAGCCAATATTCCGTATTTGCTTTGTTTTATCACTTTATGGGTGAAACTGCCAGTAATATTTAAAAAATCGTACCCAATATCTTGCATTATATAATTAAAAATTATTAAACCTATATCATAATAGTAAGATTTAAATACTTTGCAATCACTTTGTAGTGGATATAGTACCAACCAACAAAATGTACATTTAGAAAATAAAAAAAAAAGGGAGAAAATTAAGAAAAGGGGAACATTAAGAGAAAATACAATACTCCCCTTCTAGTAAATCTCTAATCTAGCCATTTTTTTTAAAAATCCCCTTCTCAATTGCAAACCTAAACCCAGCTGAAAAAATGCAGAATACCAGAAAAAGGAAGCAAATTTTTCCCAAAAACAATAAACAACAATCAGAAATCACAATTACGAAAATCAAATCAAATAAAACCAAGAAAAACCCAAAAACAGATACAATTGAACCATACCCATCTCACCCAAGACCAACACCTGAAGATTGTTTAGCCATTAGAGATGAACTGTTGGAATTTCAAGGATTTCCTGAAGAATTCGCAAAATATCGCGACGAGCGAGAAAACCCAGAACTCAATTCTTCAAAATTGATTAATGGGTCAGAGAAATCAGAGGTTTCAGCTGAGAAATTGAGCGTTTTGGATGGTTTAGTGAGCATTGTTCTTTCTCAGAATACTACTGATGTTAATTCTCAAAAGGCTTTTGGTTCTCTTAAAGCTGCATTTCCCACTTGGGAACTTGTAAGTTTGCATTAAGTTTCAGACTTTTATACAATTTTATTTAAGATTTATGATTCAATTGTTGGATACAAATTTGCAAATGGGAGGGAGATTCTCAGTCTTTGCTACTGTTCTTTCTGGGTGTTGATTGTACTGTTTTCGGTGGAGAATCTCATGTTTCTGATTATATCTTGGTTTAGAAAGTATGCTTAGGAATGTGCAAATAATATATCATGCATGTTAGATTAAGAATGAAGATGTTAGGCAATAGTTGCCTCTAATTTTTGATTGAATTAGTGAGTTATTTACATAGTACGTAATAGTAATTGACATTTGGGCTCTTAAATGTGTTCTGCTGTATTTTGTTTGATGTGGAATTATTCAGGTTCAAATTGCTCAATGACACATATACAATACTACTGAAGGTTCTGTAATAATGTTTTAGCTTTATGTTGATTTTTTTAAGTGCAATGTCATTGTTATTAAGTAGCATTCCATCAATGACACATATACTTATGGGATTAAGGCTTTGATTGATTGATTGATTGACTGATTGAATGTCATTGTTATTAAGTAGCATTCCATCAATAAGAGTCGCGATTATTCATACATTGTTCCTTTTATCATTAACCATTCAGAAGGAATGAAATTCTTATATGTTGAGTATATGATGAGTCGTAGCTAATAGCTAGTGGTGTATCAGTTTTCACTGAGGTTCGCAAGTGTTGAAATCTTACTCCTTCCGTTAGATGTCTGTGTAATCTGTTTGTAACTTAATCTACTCGTATGAATTTTAGGTCCTTGCTGCTGATCAAAATTTGTTAGAGAATGCCATCAGATGTGGAGGTTTAGCTCCAACTAAAGCTTCCTGCATTAGAAACATTCTGAGTTGCCTCAAGGAGAGGAGTGGGAAGTTATGCTTGGAATACTTGCGGGATTTGTCCATAGACGAAATCAAGTCCGAGCTCTCCTCTTTCAAAGGAATCGGACCTAAAACTGTGAGTATTGTTTTATGTTTCATTACATCTGTGCATGTGATTTGGCTTGTAGGATGCTATGTTATGCAGGAGGAATATATTGCGTTATGTGTCTAATTTTTATTACTACCTGTTTGTTTGGTAATTTTGCAAGATGTGTGGTTAAAAGAAAATGTGGATATGTGAATAGTGCCTAATACTCCGAAAACATAGATATGTGCCCATTTCTGTCAATTGCGTATTACTTGTAAGCTTCCTGGTGTTTGAGTTGTTTTCATTATGACGTGATTTTATAAATGCGTGAAATAGATAAAAACATATACTAGTATTATTTTTGATGGCTTCGTGATAATTTGGTAATTGGTTTCAGGTAGCTTGTGTTCTCATGTTCCATTTACAGCTAGATGACTTTCCAGTTGACACACATGTAAGTTTGAGTTTTTGTGCTGGTGAAAAGACTATCACATGTTTGTAAGATCCTCTAAAACTGAATTATAAATCCAGATTTTGCAGATTGCAACTACTCTTGGTTGGGTACCAGAAGGAGCTGATGCGAAGAAGACGTACCTTCACCTGAACCGTAGAATTCCAAATGAACTGAAATTTGATCTGAACTGCCTTCTGTTTACACATGGTAAGATGTGCAATAGATGTTCTACAAAAACCGTAAAACAGGAGAAGAAAGAATCAGTCAATAAGCCCTGTCCTTTACTAAACCACTGTAAGAAGTCTGATTAGAAATGCATGTGTACATTGCAACTTCTTCAGTTATATCTCTATGTCATTCTATCCCAGTTCACATGGTCACAACAACAGAGAACCTTGTATAGGTCCCCACCGTTTTGCTGGGTTAGTAATCTTAGATTCTTAGTATAGGTGAATGCGACTTAACTCCAAATTAGTCGAGTCTAGTAGAGAGGTTGCTTCTGAAACTATTGACTTGGTTTACAAGATTTGCAACATAATCTGTTAAGGTTCTATTTCCAATAGAGTAAGAAGGCTTATTTTATTAAAACCATAGCGAAACATTTTTATGGGAAATCTTGCAATAGCTTATAATGAGACCAAATTGGCTCTCTCATTACTTTGATAGCTGTAAGTCTCACAATAAATTAATGTGAGACGGTCTCACATAAGAGTTTATTGATTGTTTCGGATGGGGATAGCTGTAAGTCTCACAATAAATTAATGTGAGACGATCTCACCTAGGAGTTTATTGATTGTTTCGGATGGGAGTACTTTTTATCTAAGGAAGTGAGGTTGTGGGGGCAATATTGATTGTTTCGGATGGGAGTAATGTATAAACAGAATGCTTAGGGTCATTTTCCGATCAATCAATTCTGTGTATATCAAGCGAACTTAAACATCAACCCAATTGAATCTTGTTTCAAATTACTTGACCTTTTCTAGTGCGATTTTTCTTTCTGCAGAAGTTATAGGAAGATTTTTATGCTTTATTGTGACCCAAGGGCTGGTAGGAAGATGCTGAAAATAGTTTAAAATAGGAGCCACACACATCTTTTACCGGAGTTCAAAAAGTTGTGAAAAGGGAGAGCAACTATTTTTCTCTCATAATTGTCCCTAGGATAGATAGAAAAGCACTTGTTGCCTTTTATGAATGATTGGAGCATATCTTTGTTTACAGATAAAAAAACATCTGAATCATATCTATATGACTTAACTTTATCACACTTATAGTTTGATCCTACTCCTATGTTTCTTTTTCTTTTACGTTAGTTTTATTCGCCTCAACTAGTAAAGATGCAGATCACAATCCAAGTCAAGTTTCCATTGCTGAAGTGCTAAACTTGTTTTCTGTACTACAAGTAAAGTTTTAGATAAGTTGCTTGCCTCTTTGTCTACTATTTCATTTTCTATATACCCTTGTGGCTCATTCGGATAAATAAAATCTAACTTGAATCGAGATTTTATTACTTGATCAGGCTAAGCGTAGCGAAAATAGATTAATATGAAATGGAAATAGGCGGCTCGGCTTGGCGTCCAACATTAGGATGCCAAAAGATTACACAAACAAAAATGGGGAGAAGAGGGTGGGGGTGGGGGGGGGGGGGGGTTTGGTGTTTAAAGTTGTTCCACTAAGCTGGTGAGCTTTAGAATGTAATACGTCTTATGTATGCTAATTGCAATTGACAACCAAAGTTTTCTTGCGTGCAGAAAAAAAAAGAGGTATGACAAGCAAATGTTAGCGAATCAAAAGTATGGTATATCTTAAGATAAGGTGTCAAATGTGCTTTTAAAAAGGTATTCCACTGCTGTTTCGTCTTAAAAGATGCAAGAAATCCAGATATTGTTTCTTTCATTTTGCGCCTTTTATTATCCATTGTTTTGATTAAAGTTCCAAATTATGTTTCACAACAGAAGATTAAGGGCTTTTGCTTATCTTTCCTGCACATTAGGGGTTAGGCAAGTTGCATGAACCTAATCTTAACTTAAAAGTTATCTTTAAGTATAATGGACAAGGTCAAATATTAGTTCTTAAAAGTGTTCCCGATTAATCTTCAACCTGTTTTATTGGAACACCTAAGGTGGGTATATTCATAAGAGGTACTCCGCAAGCATTAATCTTCATAAGAGGTCTTGTCCATCAGCAATCTGTCATAATTAAATGCGAATTAAGTTTAATTGAAAATCTCGTTTTCATACGACTAATTTTAGTATTCTAAATTGAAGCAACTTACTCAAATGATTGAATACTAATATGACCCTAATCAAATCATATATGAGTGAGCTATTTGCCACCTCTATCACAAAACAAAATATACATCCTACGAGACATGATAATATATAATTGATGTTATTCATTATCATTTGGAAACACATATGTGACATCATTAAGATAAGCAAAACTTAAAGAGATTAAATCACCAGTACATTAAGTCATAATTGAATACTTAATTTTCAATTTATTTTGTAATTAAAAAGGTGCAAAAAAAAAAAAAAAAAAATCAAACAGTTCGATCAAGACTAACACAGTAAATAAAAACTGATTCCTATAATTAAGACACCATACTAGAAACTTGCATATCATTCTCACTAGTCACTAGCTAGCTTAGTGTTTCTTAGCACACATCTCTTACTTGTGCACTTGAGCTCCTTTTGATCTCGTCTCTTCTTTGGTTTTGTGTTCCTTCTCTGATCCAGGGTTCGAAATTAAATTAGGTTCATATTCAACTACAGTAAAATATGGTTATTTGGCCCCATCCCTAATCTGTATCTTCTTCGACGTGCCATTTTCAAGATCATAAGTGTTAAGGATTGATCTTCTCAAATTAAATATCTTCTATTTTTTTTGTAAATATTCTCTAGCTTGATTCTAGGAATATTAGTCAGTAAATTAGTCAATATATTTTAGCCTTAATCTTAGTGACTGATTGATTGTAATCTTGTATAGCCTAACTTAGCCAAAGCCCTTACCAATTGTATACTATATACTTCGTATATGTAATCGTTTAATGAGAAAATAACAACTTCTTTCATAATTCTTATAATAAGCCCATAGATACAAGCTTTTAATCAAAAGTTCCCCATTCGGCATAAATCCAAGCATGTCCATTGAATCAAATGAACCAGCAATATCGCTTAAGTATGGAATCTTGAACAAATTAGTCCATGATTCCGGCTCTCCATACTCCTTCATTACCCATAGAAGTGAGTGTTAACCTATCCTTATCGTGGGTAATGTGTAAAAAAAACATAACATCATCACTTTCATTATAGAGTTTGATACATAGAATTGCTTTAAAAAAAGGGTGGGTTGGGAGATCAGAAGAGGATGAGACAATGTTTTTGATGGTTTGTGTTTTTAAATACTAAGTATAACTAGATTTGATCAGCTTCCTCATAATCATCTTCAATGTCATCATCTTTTTCTTCATCGTGATCAAAGTATTGTGGTAGTTTCCATGAAGTACTTTCTAGAATTAGATTTGTCCTACAAAACTTCCCAAAATAAATAGAATCTTCATACAACCAAAGTCAATCTCCTACTTCAGTCTTTTTAATACACTATTATAAACATGATAAAATAAAGCAACTTATCATATGGAAGGTTTGAGCTTTTGAACATTGTTTTGGGAGCCTCCTCAAGGTTAACAGTAAAGGCTCATAAGAAACCAGAAACAAAACAAATCAGAAAAGGGGAAGCAGACTAGTATCAGCAACATACAAATTTGACCTTCTATCTGTAGCATTGTAGGCTGATCTGACGACTGACGGTATGGCTTAGTGAAAAACAGTATCAAACGCAGCGCAACCAACCATAACTTGATCTGATCTCAAGTGCAACAAACGAACCATTTGCACGTAGATTGGACTGAACCAAGCATACGATTAAGCATCAAGATGACAATTTATTTCAATTCAGAGTGTGGGTATATACTAAATTTAAATTTTAGAATATTGCTCATAAAGTCGCAAGTACTAATAATGATACTCATACTTTCCATGAATTGACAGCAAAACAATAAGGATAACAGTTAACATCATCACTTAAATTGCTACAGAATACCAAAAGGAACAACAGTACCAGGATCTAGAGGAGTCTGGCTCATAAAATGAATTATATAGGCAAGATGACAAGCATTTAAAAACATCAATTATTATAACATAACATCACAACTACCCTTCTCTGTTATTTTCTGCCTTTGCAATGGAAATACAAAAAAGTAAGCAAAGAAGAGATCTTGAGATCGATTATGTTATACATATCACAAAGCTTCACATTTCACACTTCACACTTCACACATACATTGAGGTCGTTGTAAATACTCTTTTCTGTAACAAAAGCTATGTCTATTGTGCAAGTGAGCTGATCGAGTAACAAAATGCACTAAGCTTTCAATTGCACAAGACGCGTATCATATCCATGAGCTATGTAGCTCAATCCCCATCTATGTAATATCAAGAGGTCATGTCCATAAGTTGTTATCATAATTAAATACGATTAAAGTTTAATTGAAAAGCTCATTTTCATTTTGCAACACACTCAAATATGACTAATTTTTAGTATTTTTAACTAAAGCAACTTACTCAAATGATTATATACTAATTCGACCCTAATCAAATCATATCCAAGTGGGCTATTTGCCACAACCTCTATCAGAAAGCAAAATATACATCCTACGAGATCTTAATATATATAATTAATGCTCTTCATTATCATTGGAAACACATATATGGCATCATTAAGATAAACAAAACTAATTTTCAATTTATTTTGTAGTAATAATAATAATAATAAAAAACAGTTCTTGAGTAATACAGTAGGTAAAAACTAATTACTATAATTAAGACACCATACTTGAAACTTGCATATCATTCTTACTAGTCATTAGCTAGCTTAGTGTTTCCTTGTGCACTTGAGCTCCTTTTGGTTCTTCGGTGTTGTATTCCTTCTTGATCCAGGGTTCGAAATTAAACTAGGCTCATATTCAACAGCAACAAAATATGATTTTTTGGCCTCATCCTTAATCTCTATCTTCTTCGACCTGCCATTTTCAAGAGCATGAGCCCATAGATCATTGCTTCGAATCAAGAGTTCCCCATTCAGCATAAATCCAAGCACGTCCATTGAATCACCAGCAATATCGCTTAAGTATGGAATCATGAATAAATTAGTCCATGATTCCGGCTCTCCATACTCCTTCATCACCCATACCTCAAGAGTAGATGCGTTCACATGGTGTAACACGATTCCAAGTTGTCGTTCTCCTTCCAAGGTTGCTAGACCGAGCATTGTTTTCTCCTCTCCACCACCTTCTCCTCCTTGATTTGGCCGAGCCATCTGCTTAACCTTCTCATCCTTGTTATCAAAGTAAAGGATCTCCCTTTGAACCCATGGATTCTTAAAATCATAAAACTTCACCACCCAATGAGGAACACCAGAAACAACCTTCCCTGCTTCTCCATTAAATAGTTTACCGTCGAGTAGTCTGCTTGGAAGAGCATGATTCTGTAGCCTCCGAAATTTACCCGTCTGGCAATCCTCTACGTGAACAGATTCAGTTTCATAATTTATACGATCATTGAAATTCCTGGGTGAGACAGGCGGGCTGATAGTCTATAGCTACCACAACGCTGTACTCTTCGCGATCAGCATCATAACTAAGTCCCCATAGAATGCGAGCGTTGAAACCCAATTCCCAACGAGGCTCAAAGAACCAATATTTCCCCGAAAGAGACTTGTAATATTTATTTATAGGTTCCACAAAATTAAGCTATTATAATTAGCTAACGCAACTAATCCATTACAAGAACCAATTATCTCAAGATTTTCATCATTATACCCCCATTTACAGGGATCCTCTAAAGGAGGTATGGATGATAATATTGCTGTGTCGTTGTTAATGAGATTAGAGCAATTCACGTCGTAAATGTTGAATTTCCTGTACGAAACAGACTCAAAAAAGATGAAACATTTACCAATGCGCTTAAAATACTCGTCCATAAACTTTGGATTAGAGATTATGGAGTACCATTCCTTGCATTCTAACTTGGAGCGAACCATGGAATTGAAGGGTAATTTGTGAAATATGTCTGTTAATACATCATTAGGAAGACGTCTCGCTTTCCTTCGTCTTGGCTTTCTTCCTTTTCTTCGCCCTCCTCTTCTTCTTGGCATGGCTGGTTTGCTTTGATTTGATTTTCTTTAGGGGTTGGTTTAATTTTTCTGATACGCAAATTGCTGCTTCTTATATTAAAGTATTAGGGTTTATGTTACTTCCTAGGGTTTTAGGGTTTATGTTGCTTCCTAGGGTTTTAGGATTTATGTTGCTTCTTAGGTGTTTTTAGCTGTTAGGGTTTTTGTTTTGTAGAGACAAGAGTTGATAATATAAAACACTGGGCCAGGATAAACAATCATGCTTGAACCCACAAAATTGTTACGGAGTACAATCTATTTATGGGTTAGGGCTAGACAACTTGCTAACTCGGCCTTCCATAAACTTCCGTAGGTTCAATTTGAAGTACTTATTCCTATTGCAACCTTAAACTCAACACGCTTCTTTGACTACCAATAATAGTAGGACGGGTCAGGGTCAGGGTCAGGGTCAGGGTCTTGCTCTAGAATTATGTTATCGTTACCAGTTACCCCCTTTAGCTTGTATCAAATAACCAAGGTTTTCGACACAAACATTTAATTTGATCAGCTTCCTCATAATCATCTTCGTTGTCATCTATTTCTTCATCGTAATCAGAGTATCGTCGTAGTTTCCATGAAGGACTTTCTAAGATAAGACTTGTCTACAAAACTTCCCAAAATAGATAGAATTTTCATACAACCAAAGTCAATCTCCTACTTCAATCTTTTGAGTAATACACTAGTATAAACATATTTTAGAGATCAAAATACGGAGTAACTTGTTATATGGAAGTTTCGAGCTTTTGATCATTGTTTTGGGAGCCTCCTCAAGGTTTTCCGGAATAACAGTAAAGGCTCTAGGCGAATAAGAAACCAGAAACAAAACAAATCAGTAAAGGGAAACAGAGTAGTATCAACAACATAAAAATTTGACCTTCTATCGGTAGCATTGTAGGCTGATCTGACGGTATAGCTTAGTAAAAAAACAGTTTCAAACGCAAACAAATAACTTGATCTCAAGTGAAACAAACGTTTTTAACGAACCATCTGCACGTGCATTGGACAGAACCAAGCATACGATTAAGCATCAAGATGACAATTTATTTCAATTCAGAATTTAGGTATATACTATACGGAGTAGTAAAAATTTAGAATACTACTCGTAAAGTCGCAAGTAGTAATAATAATGCTCATCACTTAAATTGCTGCAGAATACCAAAAGGAACAGTACCAGGATCTAGAGGAGTCTGGCTCATAAAATGAATTATTTAGGAAAGATGAAAAGCAGTTAAAAACATCAATTATTTTACCATGATCATAGTACTATAAGAGGAAGTCTGATGCAGATTAAATTTCCAAAATCAAATCTGGTGTTGATTGGAGGTGAAAAACTTCTACCAAGTAGGCTTTGATCATCAAACAGATGGTCAGATTGCAACAATTTTTAGCTCCATCAGCACCTAATCATAAGCTGTTAATCCCCTAAAACAAAACATAACAAATATTAAGCTACAGAGGAATAACATAATGGCAAACAAATACTTGAACCATCAATGAAAGGGATGCAAGCACACAAGAAATATACAAGTTGTATCACAAAAACAGCAATCTACCTTAACATTAAGATTAGACAGAGGATCATCTTTGTCATGATTAAGCAATGCTAACTAGTAATGGTAGAGTGAAAATAACGAGATCTCATTTACTAATAAAAAGAAAAGGAACAAGAACGTTAAAACAAAGTAGCAGTAGGTATTATAACATAGCATCAACTACCCTTCTCTGTTGTTTTCTGCCTTAGCCATGAAATATAAACAGTAAGCAATTCAATCCTTTCACAGCATTGGACTCTCCAACTTACATTCCATTACATAATGACGACAAGAAGAGATCTTGAGATCAATTATGTTATACACTTATACATATCACAAAGATTCACACATACATTGAGGTCATTCTCCATGAACAAAAGAAATTAAATACTCTTAGTCTCTTACTCCGTACTACATATACTTGTATCAGACACTGAGAGAACAAAAGCTACATCTATTGTGCAAGTGAGCTGAGTAACAAATTGTAGTACGTTTTCAATTGAAAAAGACGTATCATATCCATGAGCTATGTAACTCAATTCCCAACTATGAATATCAAGCCATAGATCCTGTAATAATTTGGAGAAAGCTAGTATAGGCCAAGAAAGTGTTTAACCTTCCATCAGTAGCACCAAGCCACAAAATTCTGCTTCAAATGTAGTGCCTGGAATCAGATACAAAAGCAACTCAAGTTTTTATAGTGTTATATGCATATTTTGAGAGTCATCCAAATTAATCTTAAGACATGAGTAGACAAGCCTACCACAACAAAATGACGGAAAAGATGTTGATTACCCAATCGAATGATGGAAAATTGCTATATATGCTACTCATGCTACCAACACAATTGCAATATTAGCATAGAAGATGCAACAGGCCAACAGCACTGTAAATTCAAATTTGTAAAGTAATTTATTTTCTAAAAGATTGAAGATAACAATTAAACAAGCAGTCTAATGCCATACCATTTTTTCCCCTGCTGCTCAGCCAAAACCACCCTACTCCATTATTTTTGTTGAAAACCCGATCATTCAATCCTTCGCACAGCAGTAAACTCTCCACGTAAGGATCCATAACATAGTGACAATCAGTAACCTCAAGATTCTTCATCTTATGGCTCTCCAAGTCATAAGATTTCACTACTCCATTCACCTCCAAAAGAAACTTGTGGATACTCTCGATATATATCAAATTTTTTACAGCTTTGTGCTTCAGAAAAAACTTATACGTGCCTGAATCTGTAGTATGATACCATTTACTCCACGCTTCCATCCTACTTCCCCCACACTTCTTCAACACCCATATGCAAACACTCGCACGAGCAACATCCAAGACAGCAAATTGATCACCTAGACGGAAAGGCCAAGTGAATTTATCCTTATCACTCCATCGATCACCAGGCAACTCCGTGTAGCTAAACGTCTCACTACCAAAATCAAAGGAAACAATATGGGTATAATTCGTACGCAATGGACGCTCATCAAGACTAAATGATATCCAATGCATAACACCTCTAGCTAACACTTTATCTCCAAAATACCACATAATTGGAACCTCAACACCAACATTAACCCTCCAACAGCCCGTGCCAAGCTCGTAAACTAGAATCGAAGCAAGCCCTCAAGCTCTGCCAACACGAAAGGGAAGAAAATCATAACAACCTTATAATCATTAATAACAGGATCAAACCCAATAACAGTATCAGCACGACCACCAGGACGGGTATCTGGGGTAACAACATACGCTTCCTAATTGAAGGATTAAACAAGAACAAATCATATTTATCGCCAATTAATTGACCAAATAAAATCAACCCATCAACATAACCCTTATGATCAAGATGATACTCAGATGATAAAAAGGTTGTTCCCAAAATTTCTTGACGTTTTCTAAATTTACCCATTGTTCGAACCCTAATCTTCAATTCAAATTGATTTAAAACCCACATTGTATTCTGGGTTTCATAGGATAAAACGAAATGTTTGTTGGAATTGTTCTTGAAATGGGTGATATGCATAGAAATGAAACTAGGGTTATCGATTAAAGAGCGCCATGATTTGGAAACACACCTTGATTTTCGCAGAGTTTTTGCTGGAAGTTTTGAGAAGATCTCCATCCATAATTCCGGCAGCAGTTTATCGGATGGATTAATCTCTCTCTCTTCTTCCATGGTTGATTATTCACTCGAATTTTCGGAGATATTGCTCGACTTTGTTATTTGAAGTAATTGAAGACAAGGGGAATTGGAATTAATGAATTTTCTGTTTTGACTCGAAAACAAAATTAGCGGGACCTTAATCTTTGACTCCAAACCGAAATTAGCGGGACCTACTTTGACTAGCTCAGCTTGTGGCCAGCTCTATCCTCGAGTTTTTGTTTTTATTTTTTTATTTTTTTATTTTTTTTTAAGGTACGAAAAAAGGAAAGAATTAAAACCCCTCCTCAGGAGGGGCGAGCTCTATCCTCAACTTACCTTTACCTTGTAAGGCAGTATACTAGTATGAAGTACAAAGTATAGATATACGAAGTGGTGTCACCCGATTCACCTTTTGGGTTGATTCGGATTTGGGATCAGTGCTGGGTTGTTATGTTCAGTTCGCTTCCAATTGTTGTTGCGAGGGATCGAATATGCAGTTCTCCTTAACATGTAAAATCTCAGTTACTACTACACCAACAGGCAACAACTAATTGAGTAATTGGTATATACAAAATATTTTAAATTGACATATTTTAATTTTTGACATTGTTTACAAATTTTTATTTCAACTAGATTTTTATACTCGTAATTATACTAAAACATAATCATATGAGATGAATTGCTTTAAAACTTTTAATGTACTCCCTTCGTTTTTTAATAAGTGAAACGTTTTGCATTTTTCTACTATTCATCTAATTTACTTTGACTAATTTTGTGATTTATACGTAAGAATAAATATAATCTTATGGGTACTTGTTGGATTGTCCCAATGAATAGTTTATTAGTATTCAACCGTTATAATTTTTGCATTGACATTCTTCAAACACGGAGGGAGTATATTTTTATAATATTTACTTTTTACGAGTAATATTTTTATATATTGATCAATAAAAATATTGTTAAACTTGTGTGTTGGCATACGTAATAAAGTAAAATGTCACTTAAATAAGAATAGAAAACTACTATTTTGTAATATGATCATCATAAAATCGTGTCACTTGATCATCCTCGTATCAAAATAACTAGGATAACCCTATTATTCTCCTTACATGTTAAACATCCTTTGTCACTTATTCATCCTTGTATCAAAATATATTTGCATATCCAATAAAATCGACCAAGAAGACTCCATACAAACACCTCGAAAATGATGTTGACTTTGATGTTAGACCAAAGCTACTAAAAACTTCATCAACATTATATCTATACACGAGTAATACGACTATATAACTAGTCAACCATATCTAGCCGGTATGGGCAATGTGTGACCCATTGCCACATTGCCATTTCATAGCCCGCCCGGAGTCACAAACCGACCTCGGGAGGGCCAAGTTAGCATCAAAAGGCGATGGGTAACCCAAATGCCCATTAGATATCTCCATGACTCAATTGAATTCCCCTGGTTCCCTTCATTACCATTTACCACCATCCTCCCTCCCTCAACATCCACAAGAACAACTCTTCATCATCACATCCCAGAAACTTAGGGATTGACCTGAAAAATCATGTCAATCCGCCATTGGAGAACATGGGTTCTCTTAGTTTTCCTGATTTCGACTACCCTTCTCAAGCTTTCTCTATCTGATCCCGATTCCCATCTCTGCCGTAAGAAACTTTTGATGAGAGAGAAAGTCCGCCGTATGTAAGATTCTAGCTATTTTTACAATTTCTACTTCAATTCTTGTTTCATTTGTAATCCTTTCTCTCTCAATTTCTTGTTGGGTACTCGATATGTTTGCTCAATCTTGTTGATTTACATGTTCTGGGTTTTTCCCATCTAATTACAGTGTTCTAATTCATGATAAATTAAATTTGTTTACTTTAAAATCTATTGCAATTTGCAATTTTGACTTGTATGTTCAATTTACTTCAATTTGTTGCCAATTGCACGTAATCAATTCATAAATATGAAGGCATCAGTGGAATCTTGTAGCTTACTATTTCAAACCTTAAAATCATTTTCGCATGATCAATTCACAGTTTTTTTCTCAAATTTCAATATGTTGGATAATCCTACTAACAAAATCTCCAATAATTTTTCGCTAAAGTTCTAATCTTTCATTGCTTTTTCGAATTCAACTTATCAAGCTTGATCTTTTGACAGTATGAGCTTGTACATCTCCATTTCAGGTTTTATCATGCCTATGACAACTACATGAATACGCCTTTCCGGTTCGTATAAGCTCCCTAATATGCAATTCCGTCAACTATTGCAGTTTGTAGGAACTTTAACACTTAAAGTAATTTTATTTGCTTTGTCATTCTTGTAGCATGATGAGCTGAAACCTCTGACAAAATCTTTCACGGACTCGCTCAGCGAGCTGGGAAATTTGAGGGTGAGAGATATCTTGCAAGGAAATTGATTACCCTTCCATTGATTACACCTGCATCATTATTGATTACTGGTTTATTTTTCAGTTAGAACACTTGCCACAAAATTACAAGGGTTCTGCCCTTACACTTATCGAGTCATTATCCAGGTATTCGTTTTGTAATAGTGAGTATTTAGATTACAAGTTTATATGCTCAGTTTTGTTGGCTTTGTGTTTTGACTGTAGGAAACATTTTTTCTTTCAGTCTTCTTATATTAGGTAACAATACAGAGTTTGAAAGGGCAGTGTCATGGCTTTCTGAAAACCTAACATTTGATGTGGATGCAAGGGTGAATCTGTTTGAGGTACGCTTTAATTCGTTATAGTCATTAAAAATCTTTTTCAAAGATATTCACGTTAGCAAAATGTGATTCTAGTGGTTATATGATTTTATTTTTTAGTTTTTATTCTTTTTGTTCTTATGCTGATCACAATTCCTTGTGTGTATATCATTTGTAGAATTTAGCTTCTTTGTTTGTATCACATTGGCTTATTTGATACTAAGGTAGTAAGGATGATGAAACAGAAGCTGTTGCTTAGAACTCTATGGAAGTTTCCATCGAAGCAACTAGAGAGAAATGTAGAAGAAAAGAAAAATTGAGAAAAAATGTTGTGTTTATTGTTGGTTGAATAACTATATAATTCTCATTACAAGCTAACTAACAGACTTTGGGTTATACTACAAAGAGTTTGTTACACAGCTCTAACAAACCAACTAATTTCTGTTATGTCAAGTTGCCGAGCTGCCTGTAGTAATATCTCTAATAAAGGATTTGTTTATTGGGAAGGTTAAATAAATTTGGATGCAAAGGGATACATTACCTAGAGAATTCTGTAGAACTTAAGCAGCATGTGTTCATGAAATGGAACCAATTCTAATGTTTTCATTATCATTTGAGTTTTTGCAGTACACTGTAAATGAAACAAAAATAGATGCTAACAAGGATGCGTATCCTTCAGCATGTATTTCAAATTTCATTAATGTTCCTTAACTTGATGCTTGAAGCCATAAAATCTTAGCTTATGTAGAAGTTAATTGATATCTCCTTCTCTTGATGACAATCTGTAGTGCAACATAAGAGTTCTTGGGGGACTTGTTTCTGCTCATATGCTTGCAATTGATTCTAGAAACAGGTTCACTCAAGGAACTTACAAGAATGAGCTTCTTACTCTAGCTGAAGACTTGGGACAACGCTTCTTGCCTGCATTTAGTACACCAACGGGATTACCATATGCATGGATTAATCTTAAGGTAATGCCAATTCCTGGAATGTGTTTTTGACCGTGAAGAGTAGAATTTTATCAGGAAATATATCTAAGTGCAGCTAAGCACATTTTCTTTTTCACGATGAGAGTCATCCCATTCACAGTTTTCCCCGCCATTTTTTTAGTGCTTCTTTTTCTGTAACAGAATTCCTTTCCCTATAGTCTGGTTTTTCTGAATTCCCTTGGCAATTCGGCATATTCACATTGTGATGAAAGATAGTTTGTTATTAGTTTGCGCTGAGTGAAATGTTATTGTTTTGCTTAGACTTCTTTTTAATATATGAAGATGGTCCACTGGTTTTGCTTTAAGAAGGATATATGACTCAGGATGAATGCAAAATTATGTGAACAGTATGGAGTAATGGCGAATGAGACAACGGAAACAAGCACATCTGGTTCTGGTGTGGAGATTTTTCTTGGGTTCAGTCATGTGAAATTTGGACATTTAGTGATAAGTATGGCTTACTTATTATTCTAATTTCAGGCTCCCTGATTCTTGAAATGGGGGCGTTATCAAAATTGACCGGAAACCCACAGTATGAAGCTGCAGCTTTTCGTGCTTTGTGTAAGTTATGGAGCTTAAGAAGTTCCTTGAATCTGTTGGGGACAACACTGGACGTGGTTACTGGAAAGTGGATAGAGCATTCTTCTGGGATTGGTGCTGGTAAGCTGTCATTTTTTCAATCGTCACTTCAGTAATTTCATCTGCATGTGTTATGGATTATGAATTTTACTATTCTCGTGGCTGAAGTATTTTTGATGCCGTGTAGGAGTTGACTCATTTTATGAGTATTTAGTCAAAGCCTACATTCTCTTTGGAAAGGAGGAGTATTGGAGAATGTTTCAGTCTGCTTATGTTGCTGTCCAGAAATATTTCAGACATGGTCCATGGTATAATAATGAACTACACTGCTTTCTAATTTGAAAAGTTAATAAGTTTTCAGTTGTATTGAAATGCTAAGGCTACACGTGACCTTAAGGGCTACGGGTATAATTAGAAATTATGATACTAAAAGCATTTAATAACACTGGATGATTCTTGATATTGTCATGAATTCCCGTATTAGGAAAAATTTGTGCTTATATTTAACCCTTAGGACTATAGTTAGCAAATAATAGAATGATTGGCATGTACAGTCGATGCATTAATAATTGTTAACTGTTTCTTATTGAGTAGGTATCATGAAGCTGATATGAGAACTGGGCATGCTACTTACTGGCAACTTACGAGCCTTCAAGCCTTTTGGCCTGGAGTACAGGCAAGTTTGAAATGATTTTGTCTGGACTACAGTTTAGTGTAGCAAAATTATTCTGATTAATCCAATAGTTTTATCTTTGTGGTTGTGCATAGGTTCTTGTCGGAGATATTGCAGCTGCGAATTCCTCACACCGTGAGTTTTTCAAGGTTTGGGAAAGATTTGGTGTTTTGCCTGAAAGGTATTATCAGAGCTGTAACCTCTATCTTGTCTTTTTGTCAAACTGATGACGATGCCCTATTTTGCACTGAATTGAGCCTCAATTGTTTTTAGATATCTTCTTGACCATCAAATGCTGCATCCAACAGAAAAGTATTATCCGCTACGCCCTGAATTGGCAGAATCAACTTTCTACTTGTATCAAGCTACCAAAGGTTAGCTAATTAGCCTTCAAACAATGCTAATATAGGTAGCACTGTAGCACAGGTTTTCATCAGCTTTTTGGGATGTAGCTGCACTCATACAATTCTCCTTGTTGCTGTTTAACCTAGTCTATGTTTCTATATACCGGTATGAGTGTTGGGTATAGGTACATATCCAAGTGCTGGACATGTTAGGTTAGGTCTCAAATTTTTAGACACGGCAACATTGGCTTGCATGGAATATAATTTTAATCTCAAAAACATTTGCATGTATTTTTTCATGTTTCAAATATATGTATGCTTTT